TGGTAATTAATTGGAGATAGAGTCTCACAGGCTTTCCTGACTGGCTGGCTTCTAACTACAATCCTCAGATCACAGCCTCTAGAGCAGCTAGCTAAGATCCCAATGTAAGCCACTGGTGCTTGGCTATGATGTTTTTTTCTTCAGCTACTAATGGAATTAATCTCCAAAAGTAGATCTCATAAAAGTTAGAAATATTCCACACAACTGATTTCAGGGAACTCTAACATATATCAATTGATGTATACCAATATATCAATTGATATAACTTCTGTGTCAAAAGAAAAATCTCTAATTCAAAAAACACTCTTAACTAATTCAAGTACTCAAAGTCTTAGAATTTAATGAGAAACATGGTTAATGAGAAGCCAGTTGTGGTGGCTCTTATCTATAATTCTAACACTATGGGAGGCTTTAAGTAGAAGTATTACAAATTTGGGGCCAGCACGTAACATAGGAAGGCCCTGTCTGAAAAAAATAAAATGAGATGTCTCATAATTACTGATTCCCAATGTATATAAGAAAGAAAATGATACCAATCAAATAATGTTAGAGTTCTAAGATTCTGTTTACAGTCCAAGGACCAATGAAACAGAAGACCCAGCAATAAACCCACAGACCTACAGCCATCTAATATTTGATGAGGAAGCCAAAAACATAGGGTAGAGAAAAGACAGTCTCTTCAACATATGGTGTTATTAAAACTGGACAGCCACATACAGAAAACTGAAACTGCCACCATGTAATAATATCAATTCAAAATGAATCAAATACCTCAATGTGAGACCTGAAACTCTGAAACTATTACAGGAAGAAGTAGGAGAAACATTAAAACTCAGCACAAGAAGAAATTTTCCGAATAAAATTCCAAGGGTTCAGCAAATCAAAGATAGAATTGACAAGGGACTGCAAGAAACTAAGATCTTCACCAGCCATACACCAGACAATGTCCCAATATCCCAAATATACAAAGAGCTCAAGAAACAAAACTCTTGAAGAATCAACATCCCAATTAATATATGGGCAAATAAGCTAAATAGGCTTCTCAGAGGTAAAAAATGGCTGGCACATGAAGAAATGCTCAATATCTCTGGGTCATAAAGAAAATGCAAATCAAAAGAGCACTGAGATTCCATCTTACCCTAGTGAGAATGGCCATCATCAAGAATACAGAAAACAAACAAAAAACAACAGATGAATATGAGGGAAAAGGAACCCCTAATACATTTTTGGTGAAAATGTAAACTCGTACAACCATTCTGGAAAGCAAGTTAGAAATTTCTCGAAAAAACTAAACATAGGACTACCCTATTTTCCAGCAATACCACCACTGGACATTTATCTTAAAGATTACAACCAGGACACAGTAAAGCTCTTCAGCTCAAGGCTAGCACTCTACCACTTGAGCCACAGCGCCACTTCCAGCTTTTTTCTTCTTGCTTATGTGGTGCTGAGGAATCAAACCCAGGGCCTCATGCATGCAAGGCAAGCGCTCTACCACTGAGCCACCTTCCCAGCCCTCTCCCTGAGCTTTTTAACTCAAGGCTAGCACTCCACCAACTGAACCAAAGCTCCACTTCTAGCTTTTTGATGGTTAATTGGAGATGAGATGTCTGGGCTGGCTTCAAACTGTTGCTCCTCAGAGTTCAGCCTCCTGAATAGATAGGATTTCAGGTATAAGCCACTAGCATCTGTCTACAAAATGGAATTTTACTCATTCATTAGGAAGAATGATATCACACCATTTGCAAAGACATTAATGGACCTGGAAAAAATTATGTTAAGTGAAGAGAGGGCCAGAGAAACAATAGACACATCTTTCTTTCTTTCTTTCCTTCCTTCCTTCTTTCTGTTGGTCGTGGGGCTTGAACTCTGGGCCTGGGTGCTGTCCCTGTGCTCTTCAGCCTAAGGCGAGTGCTCTACCTCTTGAGCCACAGTGCCACTTCCCATTTTCTAGTGGTTTATTGGAGATCAGAGTCTCACGGACTTTTCTGCCCATGCTGGCTTTGAGCCAAGATCCTCAGATCTCAGCCTCCTGAGTAGGATTACAGGCGTGAGCCACCAGCATCCAGCACATGTTTTCTTTCATATGTAGAAGCTAGATCTAATTTATAAGTATACAAGATAACACATTACCAGTTTGTATGAAAGCAAACACAAATGTATTAATCAAAGTGTGGTATATACAGGGGAGAATTCAAATGATCTAATTCCTTACAAAAAAAACTTTAAAATAATTAAATGAGAGACTGGAAACTTTATAATGAATGAATCATGCTGCTACTGCCTAAACCTTCTGATAATTCTTTATGTCATTAATGTGATTTTATGTACCTATTGACAAGACACAGGAGTACACAGTTCTACTTATAAATATTCCATTTACATGCCAGATGCTAGTGAATGGCACATGCCTATAATCCTAGCTACTCAGGAAGCTGAGATCTGACAACTACAGTTCAAAAACAGCCTGGGGAGGAAAGTCCATAAGACTCTGATCTCCAATCAATCACCAAAAGACTAGAAGTGGGGCTGGGAAGGTGGCTCAGTGGTAGAGCGCTTGCCTTGCATGCCTGAGGCCCTGGGTTCGATTCCTCAGCATCACATAAGCAAAAAGAAAAAAGCCGGAAGTGGCGTTGTGGCTCAAGTGGTAGAGCGCTAGCCTTGAGCTGAAGAGCTGAGGGACAGCGCCCAGCGCCCAGGCCCAGAGCTCAGGCCCCACGACCAGATCCCCCCCCCCCAAAAAAAAAAGACTGGAAGTGGAGCTATGACTCAATGTAGAATGTTAGCCTTGAGCAAAAAAGGTAGGGGCAATGTCCAGGTCCTGAGTTCAATTCCCAGGACTAACATACACACACAGACCCACAGACCCAGAGCCCCCAACACACACACACACATCCCACTAACAAAAAAGTTCATTCAAATCTAATTGAGAATCTAGACTTAACTACCAGCTTACAGAAAACATAGGTGATAAAGATACATATTAAAAGATACAAGCCTGGCACCGGTGGCTCATGCCTGTAATCCTAGCTACTCAGGAGCCTGAGACCAGAGGATTGCAGTTCAAAGCCAGCCTGGGCAAGAAAGTCCGTGAGACTCTTATCTCCAATAAACTACCAGAAAGTGGCACTTTGGCTCAGTGGTAGGGCACTAGTGCTGAGCTGAAGAGCTGAGGGATAGCGTCAAGGCCCAGAGTTCAAACACCATGACCACCACCAACAACAGAAAAGACACCACAAGACTAAGCATGTTCAGAAACTCAAGCTTATAATTCTAGATACTTGGGAGGCAGAGTCAGATGACTGAAGTTTGAAGTCAGCTTGGACATGAAAAATACCTGAAATTCTATCTCAACCAGTGCCTTGGCATGGTGGCACATCCCTGTTACCTTGTTATTGGGGTAAGCACAGTGCCTGGGTGCAGTGGCATACATCTGTCAGCTCCAGCTATGTGGGGGAGCATAAGTAAAGCAGGACCGTACCTCAAAAATAACCAATGCAAAAAGGAGCTAGAGGTCTGGCTCAAGTGGTGGAGAGCCTGTTAGCAAGCACAAGTACTCCCCTGACCCTTCAAAAGAATTAATACTCACACTTGACTAAATTCAGAGTATAATTCTGTGGAATATATAATCCATTTTCTTGAGTGGCTTACAAAAAACTATTACTATAAGAGACCTAAAAATCCATAAAAAAATAAAGATAATGCATACATTTTGTTTAGATCTTGACTCAAATAATTTAACATAAAATTTAGAGGAGCTAAGGAAAATTAGCTTTGGTTAATTAAATCTAATGAACTGGCTATCAATGACATAAAGTAATTACACTTTATCTGTTAGATGAAATAATGTTAACATCATATATAAAATCTGTATCTGATTTAAAAACACTGAATTATTTATGAGTGAAATAATAAAGTGCCTTGAGTTTACTTTAAAAATGTTTTAGACCAAAAATGTGTGAAGAATAAATGAACAATAGTAGACTGTTGATAATTATTAAAATTGGGTATTCATCTCTGTACTTTCACTCTACTTTTACAATTTAAATTTGAAAACTTTTTTTCAATCAGTCCTGGGGCTTGAACTCAGGGCCTGGGCACAGTCTCTGAGCTTCTTTTGCTCAGGGCCAGCACTCTACCACTTGAGCCACAGTGCCACTTCCAGCTTTTTCTGTTTATGTGGGACTGAAGAATCAAACCCAGGGCTTCATGCATGGCAGGCAAGCACTCTGCCACTAAGCCACATTCTCATCCAGAAAACATTTTTTTTTTTTAAATTCACCACATTACTTAATGGTTCACTATTACTCACAGACATCAATACACAAAAGGGAATCTTGCATCAGCCAAATGGATAATTAATACTTTGGCAAATGTTTTTCTCAATATAACCCATAACTTGATTATTAATATTAAGTAAATGTGGATATTTAAAACCACCACTTTCACGGTCAGATTCTCCTTGTAATTTCATTAAAAGATAGTATTCTTTGGCACTATAACTGAAGTGACTGACTACTATCTTATATACTATGTATCAGATGGCAATATCTACCAGCCAAGTGCTATGCTAGATCTGGCTTCTAAAAGATATAAACAAACTGGGCTTGGTGGTGTATATCTATAATTCCAGTTACTCAGGAGGCTGAGGGAAGAGGATCTCAAGTTCATAAAGGCCAACATAGCAAAACCTGATCTCAAAAAAATAAATAGTACGAAAAAATCACAAAAAAACTAATAAAATAGAGAAGGAATTAAGTTATGAAAGATGCAAATAAAGTGAAGAATCCTGAAACATAAACCAAACAATAAGATGCATAACAGAGGAAAAATAACCACAATTGCAGAGGAAAAAATCCTTAAGGTAAGCAATGATAGCAAATTATGAAACTATTAATTAGTCATTTCTAGTACAAACACAAAGTGTGCTATAGCATCTAACATGTTGGGCTGGGAAGGTAGCTCAGTGGTAGAGCGCTTGCCTAGCACCTAACATGTTAAAAAAGATGGAACATTTCACAAATCTATATGTCATTCTTCACAAGAGCAATGCCAATTTCCTCTGAATCATTCCCACTTTAGTATATATGCATCCAATAGTTTTTCAAACAGTATCTATCACAGTGGTTGTTAAAAAGAAACATAAATCATTACTTTGATATTGTATGTCCAGATTGTATTGTACAGTGACTCTCCTGTCTTCAAGAATATTTGGTATCAGCCAAGCTCCAGTGGCTCATGCCTAATCCTAGCTACTTAAGAAGCTGAGATCTGAGGAACTCAGTTCAAAGACAGGCTGGGTAGGAAAGTTTGTGAGATTCTTATTGCGAATTAACTATCAAAAAGCCAAAAGTAGAGCTATGGCTCATGTACTGGAGTGCAAAGCTCAGGGATAGCATTACAGGCCCTCAATGCAGGCTCTAGGACAAGTATAGGGAGAAAAAAAGAATACTGGGTATCAAAAATACCTCAAATTCTAGTATGCAAGCTAGTGAAAATCAGAATTCATTTTACAAAATCCTATGAAAGAACTTCACTTAAGTATGCTTATTCTTTAAAATATAAGGAGCTTCAGAATTAAGGAGATTTTTAAGTTCAATCCCTTTATCCTGAATATAGTGAAACTAAAACAAATGTGAAAATCAAAATTAGAAATAAAGGTATTATACTCTCAGTTACAGAAAAATTTCTGGGATTAATACTTTCCTACCAATACATGGGTATAAACATATTCTATTAGTTTAATTTAATAGTAACAGTTAATAGCTAGGTCAATTAGATACTAGTTGAAAATTCAAAATTTGAATAACAATCTTTCAAACTTACATAAAATATAGCAATTATCTTACCAGCATGGTGCTCTGACAGTAGACATGAGTGTAGATTTTTCTATGATTTGCAAGAGGAAATGTAAAGTATATCTTATCAGATTCCTAAAAGAGAAAGAGAACACTCAATACTGTATTCAATACTTAGCACCATGTAAGGAGTACATAATTTCATCACTCAAAATGTATAGAGAAAGATCTAGAGACATGTTCTGAAATGGTGCCTGCCTTGCACCTGCAAGGCTTTGAGTTCAACCCAAAGAAAAAAATTATATAAATCAAATGATTACTTATCCTATTCTTAGTGTTATTAAAAACCCATGTTTTAAGAATGGAGGGAAAAGGATACATAAGATAAAGAGATGATATCTAAATTCTGCAGTCCTGAAATTATTTTGGAACTATTAATAGTAATACAAAATTGTTTTGTGATATTTGACCTTTCAGTTTCAATAACATATTCTGTCTACTGAAAAACCCTAGAAATGCCAACCCAGTAACCACAAACATCTCTCGTGCCAGATTTGGTTCTGCTATACCACTTCCCAAACAAAAGAAATAGTTCCAGCACCTAATAAGCATGATGGCTCATGCCTATAATCCTAGCTACCTACTATGGAAGTGGTGGCTGGAAAGACTGCAGTTTGAGGTCAGCAGGAACAGTTTGTGAGATAACATTTCAGTCAATAGTTGGATGTAGTGGTTGCGCTAGTCTGGTCTGGGCTAATGCAATACCCTATCTTCAAAATAACTAAAGCAAAAAGGACTGTGAATGTGGCTTAAGTGATGAGTACCTGCCTTGCAACCACAAGACCCTTAGTTCAATCCTCAGTACAATTAAACAAGAGAGAGAGAGAGAGAGAGAGAACTAGGTCTTAAAGAAATAGTTAATCTATCCTCTAAAGCATTAAATGTACAAAATGAGCTGACATACTGTCATTTTGGACAGTAAGAAAATTATTAAGAAAAACAAAGAATCAGAGCCAAACTTGAAGAGGCTGTTGATGGTCAAACAATTTTAGTACCAATGGGATGAAATGCAAATATATTTAAGTACATGAGTTCATAATAACAATGGGAGGAACCCCCTAAGAATCATTCACAGTGGATGTTAATGAACCAACCCACTATTTTGATAACCAATAAATGTAAGGTAAAACTGAAAACCCCAAGCAATCATTCATTTCCTTTATGATTTCTCCAACTTTTGCCAAATTTAGTAGATGACAGGAAATTTTTCCTATGTAGTTTCCCAGTTAATAACTGAAGGAATAATAAGCTAGTATCAGTTTTGCATCCTCCTAAATAAATTAATAGTTCAGATACTCCCCATTAATAGTACTAGCATCACAAAAAGAGACTGTCAAGCAAAAACAAAATCTAAAGAAAACCCTGGTTCTTATTAAGTATCTAGATCCACCTATTAAATCATAGGATAGGTTGAATGGTCACAGGAATGCAGTCAGCAAAATCAAGGTGTATAATAGGAAGGCAATGAAACAGAATGGGGGAGTGGTACAAATGCAGGAAGAAAGGGTGAGCAAATGCAGTCATTATAACTGATCTACATTAAGTAAAAACTGAATCATATGGGAAGGGGAATAATGGAGAACAATCAATGGAAGGAGTGACACTGATCAAGATGCATTGTATTAATACTCTGACTTATGGAACTGAAACTGTACAACTACTAAATAAGTAAATAATGATAATATAAAATTCTATCACACAAGCCGGGTACCAGTGGCTCATGTCTGTAATCCTAGCTACTCAGGAGGCTAAGATCTAAGGATCGAAGTTCAAAGCCAGCCCAGGCAAGCAAAGTCTGTGAGACTTTTATCTTCAATTAACCAACAGAAAACTGGAAGTCATGCTGTGACTCAAGTGGTAGAGTACTAGCCTTGAGCTGAAGAGCTGAGGGACAGTGCCCAGGCCCAAAGTTCAAGCCCCATAACTGACCAAAACAAAAACAAAAACATTAAAAACAATTCTATAACACAAATCAATGTAGTTTTGTCAACAAGTAAGTTTCAAGGAAAAATAAAGGCAGAAAAAGTATTAAAGAGGACAAGAAACTTATCAATCAATCAATAATAATATTTAAGCCTTTCTAACAAGCAAATGAAAAACAAAAAGAAATAAATTATTGATAAAATTAATTTGGGGAGGGGAAAGAAAATAACAAAATGCTGAAATAAGGATACAGGTTGACCCATTATAACAATGAGATGTACAAGATACTGTTGAAAACGAACTTTACAACTGTTGAAAATGAACTTTACAACTTCAGGGTTTGGAGGGGGGGAAGGATTTGGGAAAGTGGAAGGAAAGGGATGGTAGGGGAAAAACAAAGGAGGGAGTAACAATGCTCCATAGGAAATGTACTCATTACCTTACTCATGTAATTGCAACCCATCTGTACAGTATCTTTACAATAAAAAATATATATTAAAAAGGCCAAAAAAACCAAATGAATAGGCATTTACTATTAAGGAATTATTAAATTATGGAAAAATAATGTGAGTATCTTTTTATAGTATTTATCAAAGGATAATTACTATCATAAATACTATAAAATTATAAATTTATTAGAAATAAATTAAAAATTATAATTTTATAATATTTAAATATATAATTTTCTGTTGATAGATACTATAGTATTTATAGCATTTATTGTTCAGTTTTTCTAGTTTATCAATAATTTATTTTTCTTTTTCATTTGCTTGTTGAAATACTATAGTATTTAAATACCATAACCAAGTATTAATGGCTCATACCTGTAATCCTAGCTACTTAGGAAGAAGGGATTATGATAGTCAAAGCACAAGGCCAGCAAAGGTATAAACTTAAAAGCCATGTCATTCAGTCTCTCAATCAGTAGCTAGATGCAGTGGTGTACCTATCATCCAAGCCACTTGGGATATATAAATTGCCTAATCACTGTTCTGGCTGGTTCAGGCCATATTGGTAAAATAACAAAGGCAAAAAGGGGTGAAGTGCCTGCCTATCAAGTGTAAGACTCTTGAGATCAACCCCCAGTACTACCCAAAGAAAAAAACGATAAATACAGTAATAGTATTGAATTTAAAAACCAAAACAAAACATTGATGGAATACTTACATTGTAAGCCACATAGGTCCATCTGGACACTTTTACTGGAACCCACATAGATGTCCCTTAAAGTAAAGAAAATTATTTTATTTACCTGGTTTTGTTTTCATATTAGGTAATTGTTTTAGAATTTGATGAAATCTTTGTTACTAAAAAAGCAGTGGTTTTTTTCAATTGGATGTTATAAATAAAAAATTGCTAGCCAGGCACTGGTGATTTATGCCTGTAATCCTAACTGCTGAGGAGGATCATGGTTTGAAGTCAGTCTAGTTAGAAAACGTACATCAGACTCTTATTTCCAATTAACCAGGGGGAAAAAAGTCCAAAGTGAAGCTGTGATTCAAATGGTAGAGTACCAGCCCTGGACAAAAAAGCTAAGAGGACAGCACCCAGACCCTGAATTCAAGCCCCAGTACTAGCACACATACAAAAGAACATACCCACTAGCATTAGGTATCGAAGTATTATAAATCTACTTTGCTTCTTTAACTCTAAGAAATTACTAGTAGAAATAAACATTATACTTCCCAAGACATTTAATTAACATATAATAAGTATTATATTGAAAAACAAAAGTTATCAGCAAAAGATAAGCTCATAATCCAAAAGAAGATTGAGAAAATAATGGCACTAAGAAACTGAAAAGTATTACCCACAACACAATTCCAATTTTCTGACAGAAAAATGGGGACATTTAACTCTAAAAGCTGTCTAGTTACAGTACAAATTCCTATCAGCATCTTACAACTTGCTTTTTATTAATGATTAATATAGTTCCTTATCAAACCAAGAACCACATCTGCACTATGATAGGTAAATTAGAAAACTACAAGGATAATACTTCAAGTGCCAAAGCTTCAAGACTTTCTGCTAATAACAAGCTTAGCTAAAACAATAATGAATAACTGTTTAAAATTAAAATATTATCGCTACCAACCTGTCAAGTCAGAAATTATTGCTGGATTTTCCTCAAAATGTTTTGCTGGGTGTCTTATAAAGTGATGATTCAAAACAGACAATTTCTTCTTGGAATTCTGAGTTATCTAGAAGAATGATGGCATATTCTGCATCATTTGACATCATGATAGTTCAATTATTCAATAATGTTTCAAGTAATAATGACAAATTCAACATTTATTCTGAGCCAGGCACTTTTTATAAACC